CAAAAAACAACAACACAGAGAGTATGGTTGAGAAGGTTGCAAGTCTGCAGCTCACCGGGCTTGAATCAAACCCTACCTGAAAGTGCCGAAATGGCCGCAAAGTGTATCATAATAGGTGGAGGGGAGAGCCCAAAATCTAGTAACGTCAGAAGGTATTTCAGTATCTCCATTAAAGGGCAAAAGTCAGGACGTTCTTTTTCTTTTTCTTTTTTTTTGCTGTCCTGCGCCCAAACCATAACTTGTATCACCTGATCCTATGGAACTTCTCAGCCGAGGAATTCCGGGAAGCTAAGAGGACGACTGCCACCTGCTTCGAATCCTTGTTCAACGTGAAACGAATCCTTTGTATAGATTCAGTATGTTGAGGTATGAAGGACGAATGCAAGCAATCTGAAACAAGCCTGGTACTCTTGATAGAGGGCGAAGCTTGTGCTGGGCTAGGAATAGTAGCAACGGGGAGCAGGGGCGTCGGGGTCATGCGGGACTGTAAAACGCCCTTGGTTCCGATATGGACCAATCTCGTTAGCACCCTCGGTAATAGGGGAAAGGTTGAGAGGGCGCAGAGTAAGTTGCTTGACCATCTCAGGAGAAAGGCATCTCCTAGACCATTCCTGTCATTGTGAATGTCCGCTGACTAGCGGCATCTGGTACTTGCGGTTGTCGGAAAACACTCCCTGTGTGGGAATCGCAGTGTTTGGAATCTGAGGTCCAGGTATCTGAGAGGGATGGACCATTCGAAGCGTTCTACTGCTCAATATATCTGGTAGGGTACTTTGGTGGTTCGGGACTCGTATGGTTGTCAGGTGAAGGGCGTATCTCACCGCTCTGAACTCAGGTCTAACGAAATAAAGCTTAGGGTCGCGACAGGACTACTGGCCACTCGGTTGTCTAGTCTCACAGTGTGATCCCCCTCGTTCTAATGACGGGTCTGTGAAGATTTGCATGTCGGTTAGTGTGGGTGCGAAAGGGAACTCCTGGGACGCATTACAATCCAATTTTTACTAATCAAGTGAACCCAGGATCGGACCTGGGATAGATCAGATCTCCCGTGGAAGTCCGCCTCAGAGGTGTATTCTCAAATAACCCAGCTGTGTAATGGTCTCATGTGTAGTAGCCTGTAGTGTGAATTAAATCCGTTCTAGGAATAAATGCTAGGACTTAGATAAAAGACCAGCAACCAATCAACTAAATACGCGTATATTGCACACGTGTGCTGTCTAAGGTAAGGCACTAATCCATTCTTTGAAAAACAAGATGGGTCTCAGACCACCCTCCTCCTCCTCCTTAATGAAGAAGCAAGTAGAATAAAGAAAAAAACACAGTTCTCTCCCTGACCAGGGTGTACCTCTATAGCACCCTTCAGGCAAGAGTGTTTGAACCTCTATGAACAAAGCATCCTTTTGTGCACGTGAGGTAAGCACCTCAATGACACAGGTGGACTGAATTTGAGCTCAAAAAACAAGCCACCTTTATTATTTTTGAAAACAAAACAAACCTCTGAACATAACGTAGACGTAAGATGGTAGAGGGGAAACTTCCTATTGAGAATCCTGTCATGCCTGCCCTTGCTGATGCCCCTGAGGAGGCACCTGCCAGCCAAGAGCCTGTTGACTTACAGGCTCCTGAGGACAGT